ATAAATTCTGAAATTATACCACAGTTACATAAAGGCCATTATCAGATTCCTGGAGAGAGGTTTTTTATAATAGTGTAAAGGGCGGGTCCCAACTTTTCGTTGGCTTTGATCTATTAGACAGTTGGTAGGACTCTTAGATGAGTACAAGTTGTTTTAGTTATTGAAAATATATTTAATTGTTCTGTTACATGTTGTTAATTGGTCAGACTGTCTCTATCCTCTTACAGGTCGGAAAATTATTATCTCTGCTGTGTCTATTCATTTTTCCTGGCTTGTGTGCTTGTTATTGTCATTTTACACAACAGACAGATACTCATACTTCTTCATGTTTCATACGTAACGGATCACTACATGTTATGGGCTAATTAGCCCATCATCAGGCATTTCTTGTTCATTTCTTACACACTATTTCACCCTTGAATATGCTGGTTAGTGATTTATCTAAATCAGGCTTCAGTTACGTACAATGTCTGTTGGTTTTTAAGTTAAAATGGTTACGATTTTATCGATCTTTCTTGAAAATAGGAGTGGTCATTTTAATTTGTATTTGTGGATCATACTGGCCATATATTTTAAATAAGGTTTAATGAACTAATTCAAGCAATCTGAAACAACCAGAGCACATCCAGATATGCACATTTTACAGACAGGACACTCCTATGGAACAATAGATGAAATTATGTATTATAAAAATGGTGAAAGAGGGAAAATATTTTAGACATTCTTAAAAAATACCAGGTACACTGCACCCACAAACAAACCATACACTTAAATGATGCTCATACAGATAATCTTGATCTGATAATTAACACTCTGTACCAGTATTAAAAACAAGCATATTACATCCCTCCTCCGACTATCAACTAGACTATTAAAACCCCTGCAACGTTCTGAACATGCAATAAATCCCATAACCTCTTGTTAAACAAAACATAGGACACCAATAAGTACAAGAAAATAATACACATATACAGAAAAAAGACATATATATATATATATATATATATGACAATAGAGTGTAATGTATATTTTTATAGGCTTCTTCAGTCAACATTCAGAAAATAAGAGTTCTATCGAGATATTCACAACAAACCCAGTAACTACAAGAATACTGAATATCAGGACAATTATAATAAAAGCACCAATTATAAACAAGTCATTATCAATATGGGTATGATAAAAGTTCACCAGGTGTCTTCAGGGTCTTATGGAATCATAGTGTATGATGAATTTTGACAAGTGTAACTGGTTAGTGATACTCAGGACTAGGCACAATTAACATTCTTAATACATGATTCAACAGCGTAATGACGAGTGATTGGTGACTGCATATAATGGCTCTCTCTCAGAATTGTGCATTCCACCCTCTCTGAATGAAAGCCAGTCCGTAACACATCTGCAAACAATTCTGTACAGAGCAACATATAAAAGCTGTTTTCTAGGCCTTCTTCATCCCTTTTATGTTTGCAAGACACTGATATTGCCTGACGGCTGGTGAAATAGCAAGGAACCCTAAGCCCTTCTCCCCAACAATTTTAATGAATGTGGCAAGCCTCCAATAAAAGTCAAATCTAAAGGTTTCCTTTCTGACGGCATAGCAGTAGAAATATTGTTTTAACTAATAAAGCAGGTGGATTTATTGAAGTCATAATTTATTTTCCATGTCTAAACAAAAGTCATTTTACAAATGCATACTTCAAAAAATTGCCTGGATTGTCAACTACAGAATATCAGTGATTCATTTCTTTAGTTTTAGGTGTTCTCTATATGAAGACGTGTTCTGTCAGTGTCTTCTGTTGTGTCTTTTAGCCAAGTAATGCTGCCATCTGTCAGTGGTCATTTAGAGTGCATGATATCCCTTTTAATAACTTGAGAATGGCCAATCAGATTTTCATGAAATATAGTGTGGTAGTTATGTCATTATTGGCTAGTTGAAACTCTTACTGCTTAATTTTCTACAATCACTAATACTGATGTGATTGATGCTCAAAACTGTGGGATGGAAGGATTGTCTTCCACCATTTTCCATTATACCTTTATACCATCGGAGCCTATGCGAAAGTACTTAGGCTTCTGCTAAGAATGTATTTTCATATGTAAGTGCATCCCGTCAGGAAATATAGCGACTTAAATATATTATTAAATTAAATATTTGTTTCGCCTTTTACATTGCTATTCTTTATTATTCTATGAAAATGACAAAAGGAAAATATTTTGTTTCAGATTACAGCTAAAAACAAGGAACCAAATTTGTTTGGGGAAGCAGTGAATCTTACTGTCAAAACACAAGAAAAAGGTATGGACTGTACAAAATTGATGTGTTTCATGTGCTACATATTTTTAGCCTCATGCATTACTTGTGGTCTGCTGGACTATGTCCGTTTTCAGCGTATTTGTATCGTGGCATGTGGCTGGCTCCAGCACGAAGCTTGTTTGTCATGACATAGAATATCATGGCAAGGTTAGGTTCTTTTTTGATGCATTCCACCATTTTGTAGGTAACAACGTTGTATCGTGTTCTGTTCCAGCCAATGGAAGTGTTTGCAGTCATAACTTCATGTGGCGTAGTCTCTCGTTGGAATTTTATGTTGCCGTGTTATGCTACTCATAGGTTTGATTTCACACCTCAGTAATGTAATAATTATTTCTTAATTTGTGGTCTCAGATTTTAAATGTTTACCTATTCGAGGTGTTTTCTTGTGTAAATGGTGAGAATCCATTGTACAGTGACTGATGAAGATTGCAATATGAATGCTTGCCTCATGAAATTCCAAATTGCAGAATGGCCAAACTACGTACACAACGTAGTGTCAGAATATCACATTTCCCTGGCAGTGTGGTTGTTTGTATATAGCTTTGTTTAAGCTGGAACTAGTCTCATTATTTGTGAGTTGCCCACTAGCAGTCTTTATTAAATTGTTCAAAGTACGTATCAAAATTAATTAAAAGATTTAGAAAAAATGCATCAGAAACAGAACAGCAATTGACCAATAAATCAGTCTTTTATTTTAATCTTGTGATGTTTCATAGCCACCAAAGTATCTTATAAGACCTGAATATCTTATAGCCATCAGAAATGTTAGTGGGTTAAAACATTTAAACATACGTAATTTTTTGCCAGCGGCACTATTCTACCTAAAATGATGATCATGAAGCAACGTTACGTGATGTGATGCGCATCTTGTCTTAAAGTTTACAGGGCCAACTAGGGATACCAATGCTATGTCTTAAGAGACACAGTGGGCCTTTAATGGTTTATCATATGGATTTTTTCACAGATAATTGCTTATACAGTAGCTTGAAGGTGTACAACAGGCTGCTTGATAGCTGAATAGTGTTGAGTACGTAGGTTTCAGAAACATGCTTAATATGATATCCTGTATGAACATTAAGGGCCCTTGTCCACGACAAGAATTTTCGCCGTCCGCCGTTCCGATAGATTTATCGGGTTGGTAGTGATACATTGTTTCAGGACAATGTTTGTCCACGAGCCATCACAGCAAATCTATCAGTCTGCATTAACATGTCTACGTGTCCACGAGCCGGCTAGCTCGCCGTCAGTCATCAGTTGGTCTTGAGAGAGCGTGCAAGTTTCATAGTCTGTGGTATTATTTTTTTTCTTTTCATTACAATGAGCGCAGAATTCGGTATTGACTGTGAATTATTAATTACGCTTGTCGAGGAAAGACCAATACTGTGGGATAAGTCAAGTGAAGAGTACAAAGACAGGCGGCTAACTTTGCAAGCTTGGAAGGATGTATGCTCACACCTTAAAGAAGATTTTGAAACACTGGGAGATAAGGAGAGAAACGATATAGGTATGTACTTTTCATCTTCTTCTACGTCATCGCTGTTTCCTTTTTGTAAAAATAATATAGTGCAATTAGGGTGCATACATCTGTATCCATTCTACCGCACCCGTGTACCAGACTCACCTTGACTCGAGTGAAACAATTTCTGCACGCCTGCCGTCTCCGTGGACAAGGTCACTCGGTTTTGTCTACCGGCCGGCGGAATTACCGTTCCGGCAGGAATTCTTGTCGTGGACAAGGGCCCTAAGGGTTGGATTTTTCATCGCTTTTGAATACTAGAACCATGTGGAAGTTGGCATGTTGCTGACATTTCAGAGGACTACACTGCCTCTATCAGGGCTCTTTCCTATTGGCCTGGACTTGGCTTCATCTCTCACATTCTTATCCCTGGCTCTGACCATATCTCATGACCTGATTCATCTCCGTTCCTAATATAAATCAGCTGTTTCTTGACATTCCTCTCTTCAGCCCTGATACAGGCAATGTAGTTCTCTGATGTGTTGACAAGTCAGCTTATACATGGTTTCAGCACCCAAAAATAATGAATCACTGCAAAAGTTTAAATATCTGCATTATGGTTGAATTTTGAATGTAAATTAAATAAGAATGTAGTGGTGATAATACAGACCAGATGAAGGAAAAAATCAATAAATTGTTTGAAAATAATACTAATATCAAGAGGCATGATGACAGAATTTCAATTAAGAGCAGACTAAATTTGGTGAAAGCTTGCTACTATGCAACTCAGAATCTTTTGTCTTCCCATTGGCTATATAAAAACATAATGTGATGAATAATAGCCATGACATCTCATGAGGGCTTCATGGTCTCTTCCCCTTTTCTTGTAAACCCCAAGTAAGAATTAAAAGTTGTGAGCTGCAATGCATCGTGCACACGTAAGTCTAGGATTTCATGCTCTGCCCTTTCACTTTTTGAAAGGATCCAGTAAGCCTCTTACGAAATTTCAAAAAGTGAGTAGACTGAACTAACAACATCGTGTAATTTACAAAAACATTGCTGGTTTTAAAGAGAGGTTAATAAGTGATGGCTAGGAGACTTGAAGTATTTGTTGAGCTGATGACAAATGAGACTGAGTCTTGAATGTTGAATCTGTGGTCCCTAGCCAGCGTGAGCAATGGATGAACAGTGAATAGTCATACAGACATGTATTAGGTTGTGTAAAAAATAATGGCGGTTTTTAACCGTTGTCTTCAATCGCAAATATCTCAGCTTATATTAAACTTCATTAATCGAAATAAAAACCATTGCAATCTACACATTTTTGCCAACGAGATACAAGTTTATTTATTTCCAGTAGCGTAAAATTCAGGAGTTCTGGAGGCGACAAATTCTTAGAAGGCATTTTCAGCAGCAGCTTGGTTGTTGAAGACTTTCCCCTGCAAGAACTTGCCGAGATGCTTGAAGGAGTGGTAGTCGGTTGGCGAGAGGCTGGGTGAGGCAGAGTTTCGTAGCCCAATTCGTTCAACTTCTGGACCGTCATTTGTGAAACGTGTGGTCGGGCGTTGTCGTGCAAGATAATTGGACCTTTTTGATTGATTAATGCTGGATGTTTTTGACGTGATTTCCGGTGCATTTCGACGATTTCGCGACAATACTCCTCCGCAGTAATGGTTTCGCCGGGATTCTAAAAGTTGTAATGAACGATTCCGACTGCAGACCACCAAACAGTCACCATTACCTTCTTTTGATGAAACTTCGGCGCTTCTTCGTGGTCCAACCATTGAGCTGAACGTCGGCGGTTGTCGTAGAGTATCCATTTTTCATCACACGTCACAATCCGATCAAGAAATGGATCGTTTTTGTTGCGCAAGATCAGTGCAGAACAGATCTCATAACGGCCGTTCTTTTGGTTTTCGTTTAATTCGTGAGGAACCCATTTATCGAGGTGTTTTGGCTTTCCAATTTCTCGCAGGTGGTTAGAAACAGTTTTAAAGTTTACGTCTAGTTCAGCAGTAAGCTCTCGAACCGTTGTGTGTGAGTCAGCCTCAACTAATGCCTTTAATTCGTCGTTGTCAATGAGGGTATCTCACCCACGACCCTCTTGAACTTCAAGGCTCTCATCCCCATTACGAAATTTCTGGAATCAACGTTCAACTGTACGTTCGCTAGTGGTTCCTTGGCCGAATGCGTGGTTGATATTACGAGCCGTCTCCGCTGCTTTACGTCCCATTTTAAACTCGTACAGGAAAATCGTTCGAATTTGCTGTTTCTCCATTTTTTTTCTAATAGTCAAAATTATGATTAAATAATCATTGGAAGCAAAATTATTTGCATAAATAAGTAGGGCGAAATTCACGCTTCAAAATGATATATAACACAATAATAATTAAATAAAAAAAATATGCTTGAAAGTTTAAATAACAAAAACAGCCATTATTTTTTACACAACCTAATATAAAGTGAAGCTTTTGTGGTAACTGAAGTTGATGAAAGAGTGAGTGAGTGCGTAACAAAGGATTGGACTGGTTACCAAGCAGCACTGAGGATGAGAGCAGAGATTGTTCTCGAAATGTTGGCAGAAGATGTGGTTTATTCACTGTTCAGCCACCTGACACGGCTTGTAACCCGGGGGTCTTTCATCAGTCATGCAGACAGTTAAGTTACCTCGTGGCAACACAGCATTGCACACAGTTGAGTGTTCAACATCCGTGAATTCACTGTGTGAACAGAACTATAACTAATAGTTATGTCTGGTCATAATATTTCAGTAAACAAGGATTATTGATTGTAATCATATTTGTAATTGCAACTGCATTAATGTTTAATAATCCATCTTGTGTTACAAACCCACCATATACTGACCAATTATGACATAGTAAAGATTAAAATATACAGAAGTGTAATTTTACCTATTTTGTGTGGGTGAAAAGGGAGATCAAAAATTGGGGGTGTGCTTATGAGAATATTTGGACCTAAGAGGGATGATGTAACAGCATGGTGGAGAAAATTACATACTTTTCACCAAATATTATTGGGACGGACAAGTGAAGGAGATGGGATGAGTATAACATGTAACATACATGGGAGAGATGAAATATAGACGTAGAATTTTAGTTGGAAAGCCTAAATGGAAGAGCCCACTCAAAAGAACTAGGCGTAGATGTGAGAATAATGTTTAAACTGGTGTTGGGGAAGTAGAGTTTGATGGTGGGGATTGAATTAGTTTGGCTCAGAACTGGGATTGGTAGTGGGCTCTTGTGAACATTGTATGTGTTGAATCAGCAGGTTCCATAGAAGGTAGTGAATTTGTTTCCTCACTGAACATACTGTTAACTTCGTAATAAGGACTCTGCTCCATGGAATTAGTTATGTAGTTCATTTGTTAGCAGTTGCTATAAGTCACTAATGAGTTGTTCTAATTTGTAATAACATAAGAACAAGGATCTAGAGAAGCACTAAAAGAAAACAGAAATGAAATCAGTCAATAAGAACTTCATTAAAATGTGTACAGTGAGGATGTGAATGTGGTATATTTGATAAATGCGGAATTTGTTCCATTAGGAAATTGTTTTAGAAAAATTTCAGTGTAAATATTATAAATGCGAAAACATGCTTGAATAAGATACTTGAGCATATTTTTCATTTTATACTTGTTGATACAGAAATGTATAAAATAAATAATATTTTTTTCATAGAATAATACAGTGAAACCTCGATGGATCGTTTTAGGCGGGGGTGGGAAATAAAAACGATGGATACGGGAAAACGATAGTTGCGGGAAAGCATTAAAAATTAAAAAAAAA